TTTCTGATAATGGCTGGGAATTGTAGAAGTGCACTTTAGCCCATCTTGGCATTCTGTCAAAATAAATTAATTGTAATAGAAAAGTTTCTTTATGATTAATATTCAACTTCAAACATGGACACTTGTGACATCAAACTATAGTGTGAGCATTCTAACTTGATACAATCAGCGAAGAAAATTAATGCTGGTTCAAGACCGACTGACTTCCTGTAGAACCTGCAGTTTGGAAAACCAACAGATTCATTTGACCAATACATCTGGTCTTTCAAAAAATAGAAGACAAACTTTGAAAACAATGAGCATATTCTAATTTAACCTTAGGCAGTGCTGTCAATTGGGAGATGTATATTCTAAACATGCCCTATACTGTTACTACCCTACTTCATTATGTATATGACATGCACCTTTTCTCCAGAATACTAGATCATCTTGGTTACACTCTTGTTATGCTATATGGGCAGCAATAAGGTATACACAGCATTGAATTTCAGAAAGTTTCATCAAAAAAAGGAATATCCAATTTCATTGAAATATCACATATAAGTTTATAATTTACAACCAAATCAATGTATGCAAAAATAAATTTAAGTTCCAAATATATTTTTGCAAAAACATAAAATTTATGGAAAATTATAGAATTAAAATCCATTTAAAATTTGCTGTTCATCATCTGCAATCTGCTTCTGTGTACAGAAACTATGACACACAAGGTACACCAGTCCACTATATCGATGTTTGATAGATTTCATTGCAAAAGCATAGCAATTGAAAAAATTTTCAAAGTTTGTAACATGTTTTCAATGTGCCAGGTGAAACATTATAACTGAAAATGAAAACCAAACACGACTGGGTATCACACAAATTCTGATAGGCTTTATAGTGTGTCGCAGACTCAACTATGAAGGTTAAAATCACCTGCTAAGATTCATTGGCAGGTACAAAATGAAGGTTACAGGTTTAGGTTACCAGTGATTCAGAGACAAGGGGTTCGACCGACCCTAGTTTATTTACCTTAAATACTCATTACCATGCAAGAAATGGCACTTTAGGCTGAGAAAAAAAATATCTGTTTCTCGTTTCCGCGCGCACCATTTTGAACTATGTACCTCAGATGTGTTTTTTTTAAAGCATTCCAAAATGCGTTTGTACTCGCACTTGTCTCATATTTCCCCCATTTTAGCTCAGTATTCAAAAAAAAAAAAAAAAAAAAATCGCCTCACCGCCTCATTTTTAAAATTTCCATGGAACGTGAAACAGAGAATTTTTTGTTCTGGCCTTAATGGAATTACAGACTGTAATGGGCTCTGCATATGTGGTCATCTTGAAAATACTATTGTGCACATGCCCACAGTGGCACACTACAGTTTGATGGGACCATGGTACAAATGTATATTGTAATAATTAAATGCTATATAACAAATTCAACTGTTATCAAAAGTAACCTGCAATCTGAACCTGTAAACTACATTTTGTACCTAGTCTAGTCACTAATGACTGCAACTTTGGGGTAACCATGGTTGAGGTCTGACAGGTGTATTTGTACCGGGCCTGGTTGATGCCGGAATAGTGCAATAAATTGCCATTTGATAGAGAGATGGCTGCACAGCCCTGTTATGTTGTCCCAAACACGAATATGGCATCTGTTACAAAAATCGACTATGTGACAGCACACAAATTTGTAATTGCACAAAAAGTCAGCAGAGACAAGACATTCAATGTTTGGAACTCTCAACTGGCATAAAAATATTTGAGAAAAAAAAACTACTTAATAAGTTGATACGACCATGGAACTAAAAAAAAAACTGTCATAAATTATATACATATTATGAACCTTTTAGTTTCATGATATGATGTATAAAATTTCTCAAGCATAGATCTGAATATTAATATTCTAAATAATTATACCCACTTCGTGTTTAGTTTTTCAGTATTAAGTATTATTAGTTTTGTTTAATGGACTTAACATAATGTTGCATTTGTCAAACTTAGATCGTGCACTTACATGGTGCCATATAACATGAAAATCTTTTCTCTGTGAAAACATCCCAGCACCTCCACTTGACAATATGTATGGTCAGCAAACTGCTCAATAGTTCATAATGTCTTAATTTCTGAGGTTTCAGGACTAATAATTACAATCTTCTGATAGCCTAAAAATATCCCATTCAACTTTTAAAAGACTTCACAGCACAGAAGGGGGACTCCCCGGTCGCACCATTCCCTTTGCAAGGTGTGCTCCCTCTTAAATTTCTTATTCTAGAAAAACCCCTATACAAACTAATTTATCTGAAGAAACTTACCTGATATGGTGATATTTGGTGACTTATCCATACATTCTGCAGTATGCCAATTTGGCGACTTTATAAGCAATAATCTGAATGGCATTTGGCAATTTGGGCAGCGCCCACCATATTGTTTTGGTGTGTTTAGTTTAGTGTCGTTATCTGTTGACTCAGACGATTCGAACTTTTTAGAATTATGTAATTTTCCAGAATTTTCAATCGACTTTACATCCGATGTATATTTTAGTGGTTTAGTAGTCGGTGTTTTACAAGCCCTTCGACTGGTTTTCCTTGTACTTTGTACTTGGGACTGCTGACTTGCGCTTCTTTTTTTAACTTGACTCCGTGATCGTGCGTTAGTGATTTGTGACACTTTTTGTCGTTTCTGCGACGATGCTGCATTTGAATCAGGTTTACGTGTTCTCTTTAGTGACTTGTAGTCCCAAAAATCGTCGTCGGTTTCCTCATCCTCCATTTCAATCCACTACAACTAACATAAAATAAAACTCTTAAATTTCTGCTTGAAAACTACCGCCATCAGCACTTTACGACCTGATTTTAGTACGAGATTCGCAAACTGTCGCTCGAGTTCAATAAATGTAATTGAACTGTTTATATTGTTTTTTCTACATACTTATGAAGTTTAAGTATTTTCAATCCAAGAAGAAAATTAAACAATATATTTTCCCGTCACATTATGTAAATACAAATCAATAATGTTTTAAACATTTACAATAAAGTGTGGCTACAAATAAATGAATACATATTTGCTCAGAACCTTCAGTGACTGTCAAAATCAACAGTGATACATAAACGTGAGTTACTAGCCAGTACACAGACTAGAATGAGATGAATGATGTCGAGAAGATAAGTATTCTTAGGGAAGCATGTGCTAGTTCGTAGTCGTGCCAATGACAACAGCGTGAACCATGGACATTTTTTTAATCATACGGCTCTGTAACCGTGTACGGCTGAACCGTGGGGTTGTAGGAAGGGCAAGGGGTTTTTAATAATTGCATTTCCCCTCACCCATAACTCTAATCCTAACCTTGCCCCTCCAGTGTCCCCCCAAATTTAATTGTATATACTCTTCTGCAGGAAACGCATAGTTATCTTGAGGGGCGTATACAATTACATTAGGGGCTGAAGTGTTAGAGTTAGGCGTGATCGAGGGGCCTTAAGGAATTCTTTC